TACCACATAATCAAATTTTGAGATCATTGATCTCAAAATTTTCCCAGTAATGATTGTTTCAGTCATACTTTCACCAAAAGCTTTCATTTCGTTAGTAATGGTTAGAGTACAAGAGAAATAAGCATTTAATGTTTCTCCTTCTTTCATATGAATAATCTTAAAATCCCTTTGTAACGCTTGCAATTGTGCCCTTTTAATCCGGGTTGAGCCCCGAAATTTATGCTTCATTGATTCCCATATGCCCTTAGATGTATCTTTGTTAAGAATTGTTTCAAGCACATCACGAGGAATTGCTTGAAAGAGGTAATTTTTTGCCTTCAAGTCCTTCAGTTTCTGCTCTTCAATCAATTTACGTTGTGTCTCTATAGGTTGTACTCCACCTGCCATGACCAATATTCTATTCTTAATGAGACCCTAATATTCTTTAGAATGGAGAAAATTTTCCATCAACATCGCCCAATGGTCATAGTGACCATCAAACTTGGGAATCACGGGCTACATGAAACTACTATTACCATTTTCTGCCATTCTTCTACTTGAGAGAAAATGGGATTTTCTCTTCTACGTTCACTATTTTTCTCACACTCACATGGTTTCTCTTACACTCACACACTAAGGATCATGCCCCAATAATGGAGCTCTGATACCAATTGTTGAAACGGAACATTGATATAAAGTTTTGGAGAGAATACTTTATTCAATTCAAAGCAAACTACTGGCTATATAGCCTTACAAATTGAAAACTGAAACAAAGTTGTAACTACTCCACGTTTTACAGGCCTATAACGTGGGATAAGTCACTGACAGAAAAGTTCTAATTCCTATCCAAGCACTTTCACTTCCCTAAAGAATAGGATATTATTTAACAAACTGATAAACATAAAAAATTTAAATATTAAAGAACAAATGACTATAAATCTAACAACTCCAACTACATAATAATAATAATGGAATTTGTTTCTTGCACAAATTCTTTATAACAAACTCCCGAGATCCCTAGAACAACCTCTGAAGTTGGGCAACTATGATGGGATCAAAGACCCTGATGATCATATTGAGCACGTCAACAAAATACTGGACTACCTCCACACCCATGGGTCTGTAAAGTGTAATATCTTTGTGCTCATTCTCACCAGAGCTTCCATGATGGGAAGAAAGAGCTACTTCAACCGGGAAGCCAAAAAGGATCATCCTTGGATTCTTGGATAGAGAGATAGTGTGTAGAATCCCAAATGGTAATAAAGATTCCATGGGAAACTGTGATATATCCAAGATCCTAATCGACGACGAAATTTTTTACAACATCATGTACACGGAGCATTTTGAAAAATTCAGGCTAAGAAAAGAGAAGTTATGATCGTATAAAGGGTCTGATTTATAGGATTTCAATGGCATAGTTACCTGACCTAGAGAGTATATTGAACTAACTCTCACCTTAGAAGAATGGAGAAACACAAGGACAATTAATTTACACTTCTTGGTGTTTCCTGCACAAGCATCTACAACTCCATCCTGTATACACCTTTCATTGCAACTCTGGGCACGTGAGCTTCTTTGGTTCACTGCAAATTGAAATACCATAATTTGCAAGACAAGGACCTACAATGTGATTAGATCTGAAAAGAAAAGGAAAAGGCCAATTCCAATTATGGTGGAGCTCTAAGTAAGTTAAGCTAGGAAAGATAGGAATGTTGTTAGAAAGACACTGCTGATTCATCTAAATTATATAGAAATATGAACTATTAAACTATGGCATTATTCATAATCAAATAGGTAGTGTGCATCAGATTCATAATCAAACATACTACCTTCGATACTATGCGTCTTTTATGTACAACTTGGATGTTTACATGTAGAGAGACACTGAAGTAGAAAGTGAATTCATCATAAACATGAACACCAACATTGAGCCAAATATGCTCTCGTCAATTTGGGAAAGTTTAAGCTTTTAAACTCATGTTTAATAAGATAATCCACTTCCAGACCATTGAAGTATACATGAAATGATAATAAATCCTCAAGAATTGAAGGTGCATCTAGAAGTAACATAAAATCTCAAACTTCTGAGAAATTGCGGAATTCTAAATGAAGGATCTTGAGCGAGGAAAATTATCTATTTGAAGAAAAAGAATAACCATCAACATTGAACCATCAAAGAATGAAACTTACAAGGGTCTTGCACATGAAGATGCTAAAATACGATGTGGGTGGAACCATATTATAAAGGTCATCGATATTGAATCCATCAAGATGGAGATGAAGAAACTTGAGTGTGAATTTGGGTTGAACAACAAAGTTGACCCATTTGGTGATATTGTGAAATATGAAATTATAAGCAAAGTATGTGTGAGCGTATCGAATTTCAAGACAAAAAGTGTTGAAGAAATTAGAACTGACGATGTCTCTAGAGAGTAAAAAGGAATAAACAACTCGTTAAAGAGATATCAGATTACAGTATGTTCACAACTATGTGAATGATACACTCTGATATAGTGAAGAAAAGGACGTGAGTGTCAACTCCAAAAAAGAGAAGGAAAGAAAAATTAAGAAATAAAGTGAAACCTTATTTTATTCAACATAATATAATGGTTCGGTGTCACATTATTTATAGCCAATTTTGGCAAACTACTTGCATAATTTAGGAAAAGAATAACAGAATAACAAATTAAGTAAAATAGAAACAGAAAAATAGGGAGGTCTCAACTACTTGCACACATAATCTCTCAAATACCCTGATTTCTTGGATTGTCTTTTTCCTAATATTGAGCCTTCTTCTATTGGATCTTCCATGTCAGTTTCAATCTCTCCATTGGATTTTTCTATTTCTTGGGTTGTAGTGTGAATCACTTGTGTCGTATCAATCAATGAAGTGAAGACTGAGAACAAAGTGGCATAGATGACTTCATCGCTTGGGCAATTTATTTTAATTATTAAATTATTTAAATCAACTAAAAAATTGAAATGATATTTTATCTAAATATTAATCTTTTAATTAAACTCTTGATAAAAAGTAAAATAGTTGTGGGTAAGTTTGCACATTTCTAATGATTATTATTATTTTGTTTATATATAAAAATAAATAAAATGTAAACAAGTGTCTTTAGAACACTTGTTACTTTGTTAATAATAAAAATGATAGATTCTTTAAATTTGTTCTAATAGCAAGCCTTAGAGCTGAAGTATAGATAGATGGCTTCTTGGATCTAGTAGTAAGGAAGAAACGATTTTCTCCTACTTTCCCCATAATTCATGGGAGTAGGGGATATTGGTTCTTCCTCCAAAATAGAGGGACAATTTTCTCCTTTATTGCTACAATCCAATTGACTCTCTCATGAACGCATGTATGCCACGTGTGGATGAAATGGATCATGTAAGAAACACATGTATGGGTCGGGTGATCTAGGTCGCAACTATAAAACCCAATGTGGCATCTTCCCGCTTCCTTCTTGACCCTTTGGGATGCTTCTTTTCAGATCCAATAAAGTTATCATAATCCACATTCCCTCAAGAACGAAGGTTGGGAAGGGTAAAATGATTAATTCAAATGAACAATGGTTTCTGTAAAGCATATGGAAACGAGTCTTTCAAGCATTACTGAGGGAGAGTTCTTTAGAGACGAGTCCCTCAAGTGTTACTCAGGGTGAACCCCTCAAATTTTTCTTGGGGAAGAGTCTCTCATACGTTGTTTGGGGGCGAATCCCTTATGTGTTGCTTAGAGTGAATTCCTGGAGCGTTGTTTAGGGAGTCAAGTATAACATTTAATGCTTAGGAATACTAGACTGCTAGTATTTTTTGATAAGACCTGATTATTGTAAGTCGTGGATTATACGCATGCATAAATATTGAGTCGTAGATGTCTCCATTATCTAATTGTTGGTGCATATCTATGTTAGGGCAATAATAACCTATGAAACCTAAGTAATTGATTTTATAATAGTTGAATCATGAAGCTTTTTATATCCACGTTTTCTTCATTTTTTTATACCTTTTAAGTTCAAGTTTCTTCTCGAGCCTTTTCAAATTCTTCTCTATCTTCAATCATTTTTCAAATTTGTCTCTATCTTCCATCCTTCGTCATCTTAAGCACATACTATGTTTTGTGATAGAGACATTTCTTTTATTTAACATTTATCCACATACTATGTTTTATGATAGAGACATTTCTTTTATTTAACATTTGTGGACAAGAACCCCAAATATTATTTTCCTTCTATAACCAATCGAATTGAAGGACAGTTGATTATTACTTTAGTTACGGTCAACAAATACAAAAGATTATTTATTTGGAAGCCTAAAACTCCTTTTAAAAAAAATATTATTTTAGGCCAAAAACAAGAGCCTAGTCTCCGCTTTTATATCGCAATATATTTTTTACAATCTATAGAACTTTACTCAAATAAAATATAAATTATAACTATTCAAAATTTGAAGTTCATATATTTATGCTAAATTCATTACATACATACTAATATTTTGTTTAATGCAAATTTTGCAAAAGTTTGTATTTTTCTTAGAGCAATTGTTAGGTTGAGTAAAAAGACTTTAATGTTTTGTATCACATCATGGAAACATGCAAACCTAAATCTTGAGTATATTTTGTAAATTGTTCATGTGTTATATTTTTGTTACAATAATATGACAAAATTGATAAACCCGTTATATTTTGTAATTCATATGTTAAGGGTTATTAGATAAACAAATCCTACATGATATATTGACGACTTACCTTAGAGTTACCATTGTGGGACTTAAGAATGAGAAACAATAATTTTTGCATAACAACTGATAAATCTTAACAGATGAATAATATTTTGAGAGTAACAATTGCAACGGAAGCAAAAAATACTACAACTAGTCAAAATGGGATCAAAACTTTGGTATGGCCTCAACAACTCACTTTTCAACTTTTAAACTAAACTCAGCCAAAATTTACCAATTCTGTGCTTGTTTTCTCAATTAGACTCAATTTATTTTTGACAGCTTTCTTCTTGAGACTGGTTTTAAGCATGCTTGTTCATGAGCTGAGTGAGTTCATTTTCCAATTCCTTTGCAAGTTGGACCTGCTCTTGCCACTGCTTCTTCTTCAGAGCCAACTCTTTTTCTTCATGCATTTTTAAGATTTTGTCTCTCTCTGCCTCAAATTTCCCCATGTCTTTATCTTGGGACTTCATGAAACTAGAAATATTCTCCATTCTGTGAAAAGAAAATTAAGTTTTACTTCATAAAAGATCTAGAATTGAATCTTCTTACATGCTGGACACGTATTCGAATGTGACAAAAAGAAAGCTAACACAAAATAATCGGATAATTATATGTATCATAAATTTGAAACACGCTTCAATTAGTGCACGATAAGGAAATGTAAGAATATTACATATTATTGCCGCCCTCTTTCGCAGAAGAACCTCCATTAGCCGATATTGCTTCCCGTTTTGCCTGTTGTGATTTTGCAAACTCATCTTCCTTTGCAGCTATTGCTTGATGAATGATTTGCATTTGATCAAGGAAAAAAGCTTCTTGTGCATCCATCTAAAAAGAATTTATAAAATGACAAGATCACTCATAGAAGTATATTTTGCATTTTATTCAGAAAAGTACTACCATAACCAACAAATCAAGCATCTTCAAAGACAAATCAATATGCATCAAACGAATAATGTTGATCTAAATTTTATTTTCATAACATTACCTCCTCCTTGTTTTGTTGATGATGTTCCTTAGTTCGTTCTCTCACAACATGGTTTTCTTCAGTTGTCTTGCGTAACTTGTCAGTTACTTTACATAAAGTGTCTGCGAAGACTTTCGATTTGAGTTGTTCTTTAGCTATCATGTCCTTAAAAAAGCCCAGCTGTTGACCATCTTCATTGATGTGCTTTATCTTGCTCTCAACCATCTCTTGGTATGACTTCATTTCAAACTTCAATTTTGACTTTCCTAAACAGTTATAGATAGATCATATATCAGGCAGGACAACATTTATTCCAAATATTATACATGAACTAAAAAGGAGAAACAATTTCCAAAAACAAACAAACAAGAACACCTAATAACATCTCTAAGAATTCTTAGACTACTAAAACAGTTAAGAAATTTAGTACTGTCATCTTCAAATTCATCAAAAATTATTTCAATCTCTAATCTTTCCATACAAGATTGAACAATTGGACATATAGAATATATAGAAATGGATAATTAAGAGAGTTGGAAAATGACCTCTAGAGTGCTTGTTGAAAACATCCAAATCTTCTCTAGAAGCCAAGTAACCATAAAGTTGGCGCTTTCCCCCTGGGACAAATAGTTTCTTACAATGATTCCATGCTTCCCTATCTCTCCCTTGCTCTCTGAAGTGTTTGTGGAGCCGCACAGACTCTAAGTAACCTGCTGTAGATGCTTCAAAAATCAAAACACTCATCCCTCGGTGCCCATGTGGACCATATGAGTGTCGAGCCTTCATTGCGGCATAGTCACTGAAACAATCAAGGAGTTCTTGGTTCCCCATTCCAGTCCACTGCAATTCAGCTCAGCAAATTTAAACCACAAAAGAAAAATTTGAAGAAAATAACAAAGGACTAAAACTATATACATAATTCATCAAATTAGACAAGAAAATATATTGCACCTTTTTGTTTTCATCCTGCTCATATTTTGTATTCATAATGAGAACCATTGGGGGCCAAACAATTTCATGATCCTTGACTTTCTTATCAAGACCCTCCCATAGTCCATATGATTCACCAAACCTCATCAACTGAGCTCCTCTCCTATAGCACTCTTCCTCCAAAGTTTCAGCGAACGCTCGATGCAATCTCGCCCTCCTAACTTTAGTTGCCCTAGCATGATTCAGAAGCGGCTGCAACCCATGATACCAATCAATAGCCCCAGTACCACCTTGGCATGCTGGGCAGTGCCACCGTAATACCTGTGAATTGATCTCGTCTACTGTCAGTTTATCCAAATTAGCAAAGAATTTCCAGAACCACTTGCTCTTCTTGGATCCTTCATGACTCTTGTCTCCGGTGTCTGAGTCAGTGTCATCTAAAGAAAGATCATCATCATCACTATCAAACACAATATCAGATTCACTATCAACAATTTCATCATCATTGTCTTGAGAACGCGATTTTGCAAATCCATCATCATTGTATTCACCATCCTTACAATCCTTGGATGGATTTGTATCAAGTTGAACACAATCAGGTAAGTTTCCGTCATTCAAAACCCCATTTTGATTTCCATCCTTACCCTTGTTTGTTATCTTCTGGATCAAATTCTGATTGCTGGAATTTGGAGAACACCAAGATATTGAAATTGAAATCGCCTCAGAGTCACCAGTTTTTCCTGAATTCAATTGGGCGTCGGATACATTGCGAGTGAACTTATTGGATTTGGTACGAGATGCTCTATACACACTTCCCAGCTTGGGAAAAGGATCATCAGCCATAATTCAAATTCCACAACCTAATGCAATTTCTGTGATTTCAAAGAAACAATGATCAGTATCTTTATCATTATCAACAACATGCAATGTTGAGAAAAACAAGTAGACGATTATATAGAATAATAAAATCAATTTAAGATCAACATTGCATTGATACAGTTGCATTAAAATAAAAGAGGTAGAGGGGAATATGACGAAATGAGACTGAAATGAAAAAAGACGGAGACAGAGAGAGAGAGAGGGGAATGCAGCGGCGGAACGTGATGGCAGTGATGATAATGATGGCGGTGATTTGAATTGAGCTGAGTGATGATGTGATTTCAGTTTCATACAAACCGATAGGGTAATAGGATGGATAGGATGGAGGGGACCACTATATTCTTTTTTTATTTATTTATCAAGGGGACCACTATATTCTTAATTTAAGAACTTTGTATTGGAAATCAACCCATTCAATTTTCAAGATTTTGTTTACTTTCTATATTTTTATTTAAATGCTAAAAATATTTTTTAATTTTTGTTTTCATTTTTTTATTTTATATTATTTGATCAAGTGATTGTCAAATATTTAATATGTATAAATGAAAATGAAGGAAATAATTCTTTTTCTTTAAAATAGGTACACTTTCACACGGAGGAGTAGGAAGGAGGGGGACACTATGTTAGTTCATTTATGGTCTGTTTGAAATTACGGTGGGCAACATAAAAAAAATATACTAGTATCAAATATGCCAAGTTAACTCGAAGAAGAATCGAGGGAAAAGTTGAATCAAGAAAAAAGAGAAGATGAAATCGTTTTCATTATACAGTCTGTTAGCAATTTATTACAATCTGTTATAATTCCGTTGATCCAATCAACTACCTTCTATCTATTTATACCCAATGAGAAATAACGTATATGATATTTATCCACTAGAATACCAGCATCTAGTCCTTATCCTACACATCTAATACTCTCCCTTAAGTGGAAAGATATATGCCAACCATTTCCCACTTGGATGTAAGAAATTCATACAGAGGCCGTGAAAGAGCTTTTGTGAGGGGATCTGCGAGTTGTTGTGAGGACTTCACATGCACTAATTTGAGAAATTGGGCCTGTACATGCTGGCGAATAAAATGGCAGTCTATATCCACATGTTTAGATCTTTTATGGCTCAAAAGATTTGATGCAAGTTGGATAGCTGACATACTATCACAAAACACCATGACAGGCTGCAAATCAACTTCGAAAGTGCATAAAAGCTGCCTGATCCATAGCAATTCAGAGGTAAGGGAGGTCAGAGCCCGATACTCTGCTTCTGCTGAGGATCTCACCAATGTAGTCTGTTTCTTGGACTTCCATGAAATCAAGGCATCACTCAAGAATATACAAAAACATGTGGTTGACTTTCGTGTCACTTTGCAGCTTCCCCGGCCTGCATCAGCAACGGATGTGAGACGAAAGGAAGACTTTGATGGAAAAAATAAGCCCTTTCCTGGTGTTCCTTTAAGGTATTGTAAAACATGATACACTTCTGTCAAGTGCGTGGTGCAGGGTTTCTGCATGAATTGACTCACTCTACTGACTGTATAGGCAATGTCAGGCCTGCAAATTGTCAGATACATCAGCTTTCCAATGAGCCTTCGATAGGCAGAAAAATCCTTAAGACTCTCACCATCAGTATCATTGAATGAAACTGCAGAATCTAAAGGAACATTCAAAGATTTGGAAGCTAGGTAACATGTATCATGAAGAAGCCGTATAATACATTTCCTTTGACATGGATGAATCCCTCTTGTTGATGTGGCAATTTCTAAGCCCAATAAGTAATGAAGATCTCCTAGAACTTTTAGATTAAAATGTTTCTATAAGAGGATTTCAACCTGCTTTAATCTCTTTAAATCTGGTCTTGCAAGTACTATGTCATCTACATACACCAGTAAAATGACTAGAGAAGATTCCTTGCCACATGAAAACAAGGAATGGTCAGCTAAAGATTGCTCAAAACCTAAGGATGTGAGGGTTGAACTGAACTTTTGATACCAATACCTAGATGTTTTGCTCAAGCCATACAAAGACTTGTTTAATTTGTAAACCATGTTCTCCCCCTTGATTGGATAGCTTTTTGGAAGCTGCATAAACATATCTTCAGATAAATATCCATTCAAGAATGCATTATTAATGTCTAATTGAATGAAACTCCACTGTTTTTGAGCAGCTATAGAGAGCAATATCTTTACTGTAGTGAGTTTTGCTACAGGAGAAAAAGTGTCCAAGAAATCTACCCCAATCTGTTGTGTGAACCCCTGAGAAACTAATCGTGCTTTGTATCTATCCAATGATCCATCAACTCTGTATTTCACTTTGTATATCCACCTACAACTTTCTTTCCCTTGGGAAGACTTTGAATGAACCATGTGTTGTTTGCCTCTAGAGCAACAATTTCTTCTGCCGTGGTATTTCTCCACTCAAGACTGGAAACAACCTAATGATAGAAATATGGATCATAAATGATGGATACTTGTCTTATAAATTGTTTATAAGTGGACTGCAGATTAGTATAGGTTAAGTGTTTCTGTATAGGGTACTGGACACTGCACTGGTAGTCCTGAAGATATATTAAAGGTATGCGAATTCTAGCTGGCCTTTAAGATGGTTGATTATGTTCAGCAGGGAAGATTGGATTATCATTGTGATCTATAGCAGGCATGTCAACATCTATATCAGGTTGTGGTGATCCACCATTATCTATAATCAAAGGGGTTGGTTCATATTGATAAAAGGAATTAGTGATTTCCTTTGGAAAGACAGGGTCAGGAAAAAAACTGGACACAACTGTATCATCTACTATATAACAGAAAGGAAATATTGTTTCTTGAAATATAACATCCCTACTGACTAGTATTTTTCTGGTCTCTAGATTTAAAAGTCAGTAACCTTTGACACCATGAGGATATCCTGGAAGAACACAGGGTGAGGCACATGCAATGAACTTTGATATGTATGGAGGTATAGTAGAGGCAAAACACATACAACCAAATACTCTTAAAGATTCATAGTCAGGCAGTTTACCTTGTAACAATTCAAAAAGGGACTTGTTGTCTAACCCATGGGAGGGGACTCTATTGATCAAGTAAGCACTTGTATTGTCACAATCACCCCATAATCTTAATGGAACTTTGGATTTAAACAAAAGCGCCCTTGCAACATTTAACAGATGCTGGTGTTTTCTTTCCACAACTGAATTTTGTTGAGGTCTATGTGGACAAGGCGGCTGATGTGTAGCTCATTCACTTTGTAGAAAATCAGCCAGGTTTAGTTCTTTGGCATTGTCACTTCGAATTCCCTTTATTGAAGTGTTGAACTGTGTTTTAATAAACTTAAAAAGCAGTTTAATCAACATTGGTGCTTCAGATTTGTATTTCATCAGATGAATCCAAGTGTATCTTGTATCATCAACTATAGTTAAGAAATAATTAAAACCATCACATGTGGCTTTGGAAAAGGGCCCCATACATCACAATGAATTAAATCAAAAGGTGATTTAGCATGGTTATTGTTTGAAGTAAAAGGCAAATGATGGAATTTTGCAAGGGGACAAACTCTGCAGAATTCATGATTATCTTTATTAAAGGAGAATAAAGCTGGCACACTTTTATGAATAGACTGTAAAACATGATCAGATAAATTCCCTAATCTAGCATGCCATGTGTTATACCCTAAGATCCCTCTATCATCTCATATCAACCCAATCATATCAAGATCACACACTAGGGTTTGGTTTTTCTCCCTATCTATAGGTTTGCTCATGAGGGATCACCAAGCACTTTGATTTGTATATTATGATCATACATGTCTTGTGTTGATTAACTTTTAACTAAAAAATATAATGAATGTTTGCTCTATAAATGATGATACTATAGGTGAGGGAACAACACATTTCCTCAAGTTGATTCATAGGTTCATGAGTTTATTTCCATGCCTTCTTCAACAAAGCTTCATTGAAATTTAAGTTTCATCATTGAGAGTTCTTTAAAATAATGTCATGACAAGGTCTACTATGATTCATCATGCTTTAATTGCCAAAGGAAGTCAAAAGATGCAAGAATTGATTAAAGAAGTTTGACCTAATTGGACAAGTTCTTGATTCCTTGATCACAAGTGCATAACTCCCTCAATTCTCAACATTTGTAAGTGGTTATTGTTAGTATAGGTTCTTATTATCATCCACAACAATTTCTCTTCACATAGCAAAAGTATGTGTACAAGAAAGTTTGTCAAAATTGAAAGGGGTTCCCAAGTCATTTTGATGCTTTAGGAGTTAGGGTTTTGGACTTCTAAGGGCTATATCTTGTCCATATTTTGAGATTTTTGAGTGATTCCAAATATGTGCTTCTATTTAAAGAGTTATAAATAAACAACTTCAAAGGTTTCAAACAAATTTTGTATGGAAGATCACTAATGATTGAGAAAGATTACAAGTCCTCTAGATAGGCCATCAAATTTCCTTATATGACTTCAAAGGATCATAACTTGGTCGATTTTTATCATCTTGAGCTCATTCTTTTTTCACAATGATCTTAAGGATGTTAAATTTAACTATTTTTTTGTGATAAGCTTGTAAATTATTGCAAGAGGCTTTTTGAGTTCAAAAGATTATAGGTCACCTCATGGATTTTTATCAAATTCAAAAGATCATAAATTGTTCAATATTTGGAATTTTTGAGTGATATAAGTTTCATAATACTCTTTAAGGAGTACAATCTAAGATAAAATTTATGATCAAAGCTTAATTTTAAAGGAAGACCTTGTTTGTAATCAAAATATTATAGGTCATTTTTGAAGAAAAAACTTAGAATTTTTCTAAGTATAAAAGTCAGCGCACTTTTCCTGATTTTCACCAAGCAAAACTTCTAGATCAAGCATCCAAATGATCTATTTCTTGGCACATTATAAATAATGTTACCTCATATTTTCAATGCATCAAGAATCAAGTCCTAAGGTTCCCTAAATCATGCACACCATAAGTTCAAAGTTAGCTACTTGAAATTGAATTTTTTTTCCAAGTCAGAATTTGAAATCCATAATTCAGCTTTTAAACACCAAATTAGCACACGTTTTTGATTTAAACATGATTAACAAAGTTCCCAAAGTTGAATTAAGGATCAAAGCGCAGGAATTGGCTGAGTTTTGATGCACATGGAGTCACACATTTTTCATTTTTCGGGCTCCATCTAATTTCCCTCCAAACTTCAACATTCTTTCCATATCTTTGCGTCATTCACATCCTTATAAATAGAGGACCTCACTCCTCTCATTTTCTCAAGCTTGAACAACCAAAATCACTCTGCCAAACTCTTTTCATAGTTTACTTTTCTGAGTTTTCGAATTCATCTTTTCTCCACTT